TGATGGTGGAGCCGGACTGCCTCGGTTAGAATCCTGGCTTCACCACTAGTAATTGTGAGACTTTGGACGAATTATAACTTTTTGGTGCCTTGCTTGCTTCTCTGTGAAATGGGATAATAATAAAGTTGTTGTGAAGATCAAGTGAGGTAAAGTTTTAAAGTGCTTAGAAAAGTATCTGGCACATAGTAAGCACTATGTAGACGACTGTTAAATAAACTGAAAGGCTTTGAGCAGAACAGTGTCATCTGACTTCTGTTTTAATATGGTCACTCTGGCTGCTGTATTGAGACTAAAGTGGACATGGACAGTAATTGTACAAGAGCTGATGGGGGCTTGGATTAGGATGGTAGCCCTGGAGTTGGTGAGAAGGACGTGGAGTCAGATATAATTTGAAGGTATTGCTGACAGGCTGTGTCAGAATGTGAGAAAAAGGAGCTATTCAGGGTAAGTCCATGGTTTCAGACTGAGTACCTGAAAGGATAGAGTTGACTTTTACTGCGTTATGGAAGGTTGCAGGGGGAATAGGTTCATGAGTAAGAATCATTTCTTGAGTGGAGATTTTGAGTTTGAAATGTCTCCTGAATATTCAGATGGAGAGTTTGAGTAAGCAGCTGGTTGTATAATTTGGGACTTGAGGGGAGAGCTGTAAATTTGGGAGTTGTATCAGATGATATCTAAAGTCTTGGGGTGACTTTGAAGAGGAGAGGCTTGAGGATGGAAATCAGCGCCCTCTCAGGTTAAAAGGTCAGGAAGATAAGAATCTAGATGTGTGGAGGCCGAAAAGGAGAGTCTGGAGAAGTGGGAGGAAAATCAAGAGAGGCTGTGGTGACCGGACGCCAAGTGAAGAAAGCGTTTGAAGAAGGGGGAGACAATAGATTCTCAGATATTTCTGATAGGTCTGCAAGATGAGGACTGAACGTTAGCTTGACATTGCGGAGAGCTTTTGTAACCATGGGCAGCAGTGTCAGTGGAGTGGTAGAGGTGAGAGCCTGCCTAGAGCAGAAGACAGCGAGCGGCAGAGGAGGAACTGTGGTCAGCCAGCAGAGACAGCTCACTCAGAGCCTCGAGGTGGAGAGAGGCAGAGACACGGGACAGGGGGTGGGAAGGATGAAGGAGCCTGCCCTTCCCAGGGGTGTGACCGCGAGTCCATTTGCTCACTTCCCTGTGCCTCAGTTTCCTCACTTGTAAAAAGGAAAAAATAAACGGATTGTATGAGAATTAAATGGTTAATATATTTTAAACATTTAAAAGAGAGCTTGTCACTTAATGTGTTTGTTACCTATTGCTATATAACCTATCACCACAGGCTTAGTAGCATAAAATAGCGCACGCTTTTGATATCATAGTTCTGTGGTTCGGGAGTTTCCTGGCATGGCTTAGTTGGGCAGATGCAGTCAGGGTGTCACACAAGGGTGCAAGTAGCAGCGGGTGGGCTCATTGAGGCCATCTTAGGGTCTTCTGCCACTCTTGGTAAGCTCTCTGTTCCCTGGCGGCTCAGACACTAAAGAAGCTGCCTGCAATGCAGGAGGCTTAGGTTCGATCCCTGGGTCAGGGAGATTTTCCAGGAGAAGGGAATGGCTACCCACCCACGTGTTCGTTCTTGGAGAATTCCGTGATCAGGGAAGCTTGGAAAGCTACATATAGTCCATGGGATTGCAAAGAGTCGGACACCACTGAGCAACTAACGCTTTCGCTTTGGGCTTCCCTGGTGGTTCAGATGGTAAAGAGTTTGCCTGCAATGTGGGAGACCTGGGTTCGAGCCCCTGTGTCAGGAAGATCCCCTGGAGAAGGGAATGGCAGCCCACTCCAATATTCTTGCCTGGAGAATTCCATGGACAGAGTAGTCGTGGACTTGGGGTTGCAAAGAGTTGGACATGACTGAGCCACTAACACACACATCATCATTGTTATTCTGTTGGGAGAATAAAGAAGGGAGTGGAGGGGAGAAAGGGTAGCATGGAAGGAACGATGTCCTAGGTTAGACTGTAGGCAAAAATTCAGTGCGCATGTGGAGGGAGTGGCCACAGTTCATCTGTGAAGAGAGAGAGCGGAGTAGAAGGCTCCCCTGTGGCTAAGTGGTAGACCTAGAAGCTTTCTTCTGATGGTTCAGTGGAAGGGGAAGTTGGGTCATCATCTCAGAGGGCAGAGGGAGCAAGAGGTGTCACAGGGTTGAGGAGAGACACGGACGTGTGGCCCATCTGCAGTGGTTTTCCCGCTGCAGGTGACAGCTGACCGGGGAGAGGGAGTTAGATTGCCCAGCATCTTGAAGGGCTTACTTGATGTTAGTTGCCAAGGATTTCAGGGGAGACCATTTAGCATGGTTGTTTTTCTTCAGATGCTCAGGTGCAAATGTGGAGGAGGAATAACACAATCAAATAAAACAATACATATATTAATTAATAAGATAAACAATATTACTAGTATCACTTGGCTTTAATCAGGGTTAGGTTCTGCCAGGCCAGTATGATGGTGGGAGTTAGGGACAAGAGAATGATTATAATGACGGGCTGTGAAATGTAGTTCCATCAAAGAGAGAAGGGAGGACATGAGCAGATGGGGACAGAGTCAGTGATGTGACGGATGGAAGAACTGTTGGAGCTGAAGTACCGAGGAGAGGGCCAGAGAGTTAGGAGACGGTGGTCCGAACGGTTCCTTGAAATACACTTTATGGAAATGGTAATGTTCTTGTCAATGAGAATGTCTTAACAGTATTTGAATCAGATACTTGGAGTATGATGTAGAAAAGACACCATCTTTTCCCTAAGGACTTTATTGGGAAGCGTAGCTCTCGATTGATTGTTAGAGCAGGCTGCTTTCTGTAGAACTCCATTTCCTCTTTGTGTTAGAGTAATTGATAAGAAGATTCCCTTGGGCTAAAAATCAGACAAAGCCAGAAGCAAAGGCTAACGAGTTAGGCAGGATTTCAAGATTGCGGCCATGAGGTAATAATTTACATAGTCTGAGGATTCAGGGTTTTATTTGATGTAACGGTATTTGCCCAGATCAGTTTCACATCTTGCATTTAGTTCCGACAGGTACTGTTGACCTTTGCGTCTTTGACTCACCATGACAGCACCTTGAGTTTCCTTTGTGGGCACCACCGCTCCCCCTCTTCATTCTGGTGATCCGAAGGGTGTTGACTTTCCCTCCCCAAAGGTGTCACTGGCTCAGGCTGGCAGTGCAGGGCTCTCATCTCTGGTTCAGTAACAGGCCAGACGAAGGACCCGTGACCTGGTCAGAGCCACAAGAGAAAAACAGTTTTGCTGGGGATTTGGGGAAGAACCCTTCTTCTTCAGGAGTGGCTTCAGCCTTTGCGCTGCATATGGGGGAAGTCTGTCACAGAAGTGAGTCAGTGTGGTGAGGAGAGCTGAGAGATGGTGAGAGTCCTTTTGACGGTATTTGAGCCCTTAACACTACTTGTGGAATATTTAGTTACTTTTGCCAATAAATCTTCTGTATGCCTGAGTGGGTTTTCTTCTCTGTAATCAAAGCAGACCTAATAGGTAGGTACAGTTATCATAAGAAATTTGCCAAATCCTGTAAGCTTGCATGAATAGTGAAGCACTGTATAGTTGGAATCTTCAAAACTCCTTTTCCTTTAGAGGATCTATAGTATGTAAAGGATGGTGTACAAAGAGAGCATTTGACCAGTCTGGAGTCTTTGACTGATACTAGCTAACCATGTTATTTCAATCCTCTGAGCCTCGGTTTTCTTATCTACAGAATGAGGAGAGCGTTAGCAGTTTTTTGGGGTGATTGGGAGGATTAAATGGGATTGTGGGTGCAAAATGTACAGCGTGGTGCCTGACACTTTGGGCTCCCTTCCCCTGTGTCTTTTCCGGACTTCTGGCATATTTTTGACACAGTAGTTGTTCAATTTATTTTAGTGTAAGGAATGAACAAACACCATTAGGGTCTTCTTTTCTTAAATTTTTACTTGATTCAAAGCACTGCAGTTCAACTAATAGTCATGTGGTTCTTCTTGTAAATGAAACTTTGTTAGAATGTTTTCCTTTCCAGCTTTGGAAGCTCTCTTTGACTCTGTTATACATTCATGCTATGATTCCAGACTTACTGTGGAAAATAAATTGGCACCTGACGCTCAGCCCTTGGTTTGTGTGAGGCGTTGCGCTTCACACTTCATGTGCAGCATCTCACTCCTCCAGGACAGGGTCACCTTAAATGTGTGTACTGATTCCCGAGTTCCAACTGTGTCTTAGAAGAAATCACAGATGGCCCATAGTGGTTATATGCTCTTAACCTTTTGAGATTTTGATTGCATATATCTGGTTGCACACACAATATAGTGTATTGGTTAAAAGCATAGGCATTGGAACTAGAGTGCCTGGATTTGAATCCTGGGTCCTCATTTGCCAATTTTATACCCTTGGCTAAATTTTATAATCCCTGGGTGCTCCAAATGCATAGTCTGTGCAGTGGGGATAATGAACAGTGCCTACCTCATATAGATGTGAGGTATAAATGTTTGAAAAGTGCATATCACAGTGTCAGGAAAGTAGTGTTATATAAGTGCTAGTTGTTACATTGAATAATTTATTTCAGCAGATCCTTCATCATATTAGTTATCTTATACGTAACAAAACATGACTTTTCAAACCATCTTAAACTCATTAGTGTGTCTACATAATGTGTCAGTGTTATTCTCCAAGAACCCTTTTCTGGTAGCTTTTCTCATCTCTGAACTTCTATTAGACTTTCTTGGGGACATAAATTAGCACTTCATTATTGTTCAGCTATATGACCAGTTTTAGTTTTGTGTCACCAACTCAATTGGTGTTAAACACTTTGAGAGCTAAAATCATTTCTTACATATCTTAGTATCTCTTTAGTGCAAAACATATAATCAGAGCTTGCTATTTAGTGGTCAGTTATGACAGACAGAAACTAAAATAGAAGCTGTATATTACTTTATGCTTAAAAGGATTTGTTAGCTTGTTTGCATCCAAAATCTAGTTTAATAGTGTTTTGTTTTGTTTTAGGTTCCTAAATATTTGTCGCAGCAATGGGCTAAAGCCCCTGGAAGAGGTGAAGTTGGGAAGCTGAGGATTGCCAAGTAAGTTATTTATGAATTTTTGACATTTTATGAAACTTGTTTGAATTTATTTTCCAAGTGCTTTTAAATGTAATTATAGAGTTCTTTTTCAAACAGAGAATTTATCTGGAAAATAAGACATGATGAGCTTGCCAAGGCTTGTTAAGAGCTGGTTAGGTGCCCTGTAAGCAAATTGTACTTGATATTTACACCTGTGTGTACACACACACACTCCTCTGACGACAGGTGTAAATATCAGGTACAATTTGCTGCTAAAACCTATTGGCAGCAGAGTAGCAGAGTATGTAGCTCTCTCATCCATCCATCCTCTGCATCTTTGAGGAGGTATGCTTGAGTTGGCCATAGCTGGATGCACCAAGTGCTTCAGTAGAGGGGTTTTGCCGCTGTGCCACCGTACCTGTTTATAGAGGCTTTGGAAGAGGGCAGGGCATACCTCTCAAACGGCGCAAGAGTGCTTGGTGTTTCCTGGTTGAGGAACTGGCCTTGTTTGAAAGGGAAGCCCTTGTAGCTCAGCTGGTGTCAGCCACAGGCCTTGCATTCCTTTCTTTCTGCCCATTCATTCATAGTCCATCTCTAATCAAATATCCGCACCCACTACTCCACTGAAATAGCTCTTATCTACCACCAGTATCCTCTTCTTTATCACTGAGTTTTTGCTTGTTAACAGACCACCCCAAAGTTTAGTGGCTTAGAACAAAACCATTTTATTTGTTTTTAATTCTGTGGGGGCAGTTCTAGACGGTTCTTGTTGTGGCTGACCTGGCTGGTCTTCCTGGCTGAATGGTCTTACTTGTGTGCCTGGGGTTGGCTTACCATCAGCCAGGGCAGTAATGGTGAAAGAGTTCCTAGTAGCAAAAGAGAGGGAAGCCCCACTGCACAAACACTTTGCAAACCTGTGCTTGCATCATGTGTGCCAAATGTAGCTTGCAGTAGACTCCACCTCTAGGTGGGATTTGCGGTAAAGAATTTGTAGCCTTTTTTAAAAAACAAAACAATCTACCACATTCATGGGCTTCCCTGGTGGCTCAGTGGTAAAGAATCTGCCTGCAGTGGAGGAGATGTAAGAGACACGAGTTTGATCCCTGGGTTAGGAAGATCCCTTGGAGAAGGAAATGGCAACCCACTCCAGTATTCTTGCCTGGAGAATCCCATGGACAGAGGAGCCTGGCGGGCTACAGGCCATGGGGTGCCAGAGTCGGACACTACTGGAGCACAAGCACCGTATCCATATTCTAAAATCTAAGACTCAACTAGCAGCCCTTCTCGGCTGACCTTCGACGTAACTTGACAGCGTTGATCACTTCTACCCTCACACTGTACTTTTTTCATCTCACTTCTGAGACATCACTTATCTTCTCAGTCTCTGAATGTTATTTGAACACCCTCTGGAGGTGTTCTTTGGAGGAGCAACGCTCTGTTCTTGGATGACATCATGTCTTTAAAGTAAGAAACTTTGACACTTTTCTTGTGTTTATGCCCCTAAGTACTTTTTGTTCTTTATCTTACTTACCTTTGTTTCAGACAGATCTTTTAGTTCTTCCTTTTGTTTTCATAAGCATATTGGAAACAGGCCTGCTTTTATATCCAGAGTTCTGAAATTAGGTAGAGACCGGTAGTATCTTAAGACGCTACTACACATTTAATAGCAGAACCAGCCTTGAAATCAGTCCTTTGAGTGGTAAGAAAACTCAAGCAGCTTCCAGTTCTGGCCCTGTCAGTTACTCTCCGTGAGACTGTGGACAGACACTTAATCTTCTGAGCTTAGATTCCCTTCCTTTCCCTGCCATGAAAATTGCATTCCTGAAAATCTCTGTGTACGGAAAATACCTAGTTTAGGATTGTACAGTCTTTCTTTTGGTGTAAGAGGGAGCTAGTATGGGAAATAGAGTCAAAGGAGCTGAGGTGTAGGGAGACCTGTGTAAGCCCTGAAAGTGAAAGTGTAAGTCACTCAGTCATGTCCGACTCTTTGTGACCCCATGGACTTCTCCAGGCCAGAACACTGGAGTGGGTAGCCTTTCCCTTCTCCAGGGGATCTTCCCAACCCAGGATCAGACCCAGGTCTCTCACATTGCAAGTCGTTTCTTTACCAGCTGAGCCACAGGGGAAGCCTGTGCAAGCCCTAAGTACTGCTTTGATGCCTAAAGCATCTGTTAAAGATAGCATGCTAAATAGTCAATAATGGGTATGCTGCGATTTTTCTTGATCACTCTTTGGAAAAAATTTCAAACCCGTCCTTAGTTTAAAGCAGGTCTTTTATATAGTCACATCCAGTATGCCTAGGGTAGCCATGTCCCCATGTTATGGCCAGTTTACATGCTTTACAGTTTATGTAGTTTTCTGTGCGGTTATTAATAGTGTCCCCTCTCTCACTTCCAGAGTATCCTGGTTCTGGCAATAAACTGTATGTAACTGCTCTGCTGGCTCAGTCGGTAGAGAATCTGCCTGCAATGCAGGAGACCTGGTCCCTGGGTCGAGAAGATCCCCTGGAGCAAAAAGTAGCAACCCACTCCAGTATTCTTGCCAGGAGAATCCCATAGACAGAGGAGCCTGGCAGGCTATAGTCCATGGGGTCACAAAGAGTTGGACACAACTGAGAAATTAACACACACTTGCTCTTAATAATAACAGATGTATATGTATTTTATATGTAGACTAAAAACCTAGCAGATTCTCTACCTAACGTGAAATATAATCTTGCCTTGTAGAAGAGCTAGATGCTGTTAATATGAGAACAGATATATAGTGATTGGTTCCCCAAGATTGCTGTAGAAATGCTTGAAAAGAGCTTGTTCTGGAGTATGTCTCCTAACTATCTCATTTATGTTTCTAATGTACTTATTTCTCATTCTTCTTACTGATTACTAGAGTCACTATTAAATATGTGTAGGATAAGCAAGGAATGGCTTAGCAGTGCATGTGACTAGGTTATCAAGACTTAATTTTAGCTAAATATGAGTCATCAAAGTTTTGTGGCTGTAAACAAAAGGCTTCATTTATTGGACGATTGTTGTTTCGAGTGAAGTGGGATGATAACCCCTCTTCTTTGTCAGTTAGCTTACAGGGAAAACATTGTGTTCCATTTTCAGTGCCCCACTTAGAGACGCGGACAAATAAGTTCATTCAGTGGAGTGAGACTAGGACAGTGAGAAAACCAAAATCAATTTCCTGTGAGGAACATTTGAAGGGACTGTGGCTATTCAAGAGAAGATCTAGGGCAAACCAGGTGAAAGTATCTTGTTTTTAAAAACTAGAAGATGTATAATTAAGTATTGATGTTTAGAGGCAGAGTAACCCTTTATGGGTTATCTGTGTGGTTCAAAAAACATATATTTGGGTAAAAAAAAATGAAAAACAGCTAAGGTTTTAAAAACGCAATGTGCCATACTGATGAGTGTAGACTCAGGAGTCAGTCAGCTCTGGGCCAGACGCTGTCGTTTGCCAGCCATGTGACTGGGGAAGTCGCTCATCACCCTTTCTTGTTTGCTTACCTGTTAAAAGGAGGTGGTGTTAATAGCTCATGGATTCAGCGTGAGTAGGATGCTTAGTGAGTGTCCGCATGCTGTCATACCCCACATACTGCCCAGCACTGCACAGACTGCGTCCAGTCTGATGTCCCCTCCCGCTCCCATCCCCCAGAGCTCATCAGCAGCGCCGGCTTCCTGTGCGACGGGCCGCGAGCGGGGAGAGACCGTGTGGACGTGGAGTCTAGCGAAGACAGGGCTCTGGGGCAGAGGAGTCGGGCGGCGGCTGCGGGCGCAGCTCTTCCTCAGTGTGGTCTCTTAGCGCCTGAGAGGGGGAGAGTCCAGCTGTGAATAAGCTGAGGGTGGCAGCCCACTTTAACAGCGGTAACGTTTGGGCCGTTTTCACCAAGTGTTCCCCACCGCGTCCCTGAATCTTTGTACTTGCTTTTTTTTTTTAATACCTTTGAACATCGGGTGGGTATTGCATTTTAATTGGTTTACAGTTTTGCTTTAGTTGTTTAATTTTAAAACGAGCCTTTCTACATAACCATCCTGCCTCAGAAAACTTCAGTTTTCAAAATCTTTGATAAACGTCATGTTTTACTGACAGTCATACAGTCTGTGATAATACAGCTTCTTTCAGAGATGTGTAATTTCTAGTTTTATTTCTAAACACATTTAACATTCAGGGTCATGTCGGGGCCCACTAATAATGGAAAATATGCAAATACAAATCAGTGAGATAATTTTCTGTTATAAAAATTGACTGTTTACAACAGTGTTACACTGTTGATAGGAGTTTAAATCAGTACAGACTTTCTGAAGGGCAGTCTGGCAACACACATGTATATTAATGCACATATGTATACACACACACGTACGTATATGTACATATCATATACTCAAGCACAGATACACACTGCTGCTCAAAACAAAGTAGAATTTAACAGTCCACTGTTTTCTCTGCCAGTCAGCTCACAGTTCAAGCATTATGTTCAGTTCTTGGTGCTGTTGTTACAGAAAGACATTGAGAGACTCATTTCCCAGAGGGGAACTCAGACAGTGAGAAAGCTAGGATATTAATAATAAAATCCTCATGCCTTTGACCCAGCAATTCCATCAGTTTCTAAAACCTACCCTGTCAGAATAACAAGTTAGTGATGCAAAGGTTGATACACAAAGATAATCGTTTCAGCATTGTTTGTCATGGAGAAAAATGAGTAGTAGTCTCAAATTTCTTAGTAAGGGATTAATTAAGTAAACTGGGGACATTTTTAAATTGTTTAATATTTTTAATTTGAAACAGTCTCAAGCCGCAGAAAAGTTGGAAGAACAATATAAAGAACTTTTCCACCGTATAGATCCGTGTAACACAGCATCCTGTGACTTTTCAGGAATGTAATTTGAATAATTTCCTGTTTTCTAATGTATCATACATTGATATTAACAAGATATCTTTATAAAGTTAGAAATATCAAAAGCCACATTAACTGTTTCATTTTTGTTATTATTTTAATAAATATTTAAATCTCTAAAAGAAAGCAGTAAGGTTTCCCTTAGGGATATATCTCTTAAATTCAGAATGTGTTAAAGTATATACCTCACTGGGGGAAATAAAGAACTACTTTCTGACAAGGGCATTCTCTTTCACAGTCACAGTTCACCCTTACAAATCTATGAATTACCAACCAAATAGTACTAGTACCTAATCATCAGACTTCACTCAAGGTTTGTCAGTTGTCTCAGTGATGTTTTACAGCAAAAGGATCCAGTTCATAATCTGGCATTACCTCCTGTTGTCAGGTCTCTCTAGTTTTCCTTACATCTGGGAATCCTGTTACAGTTATAGAATCCTGTTTGTAACTGTCCATGGATTGGGACTGTTTTTGTTTTTGCTTTCCCATTAAACTGAGACCTTGAGGATGAAGACCTGCACTCACGCCGTGCACTTGTCACTAGGCTGTGGGTGTGCAGCAAACCCTGAGTGCCGGTGAATGAATGAACCACTGAAGGAAGGCACAGGTTGGAACTCAACCAGTGTTGCTGAGAAAGTACTTTCCTAACTGGTCTTCGTGTCTATTCTATGTGTATTTTTTGGTATAAGTTTCTTGGATCATGTCTTTGTCCTTGTTATACTTTTGTTCTTAATCGCTCAGCAAACTCAGTGATTGATCATCAGCTAATAAATACCTCGTGTGAGCTTAGGGAGTTTAACCCTTTAAGTTTGAATGTAGATGTTAGATTTGGAGAAACTTTGAATATGGTACTTGTTATGAACTTTGTACTTGTTATACTTTTGTAGCGTTCCATTGGCTAAAGAATAAAGTCCGTGCTCTGTGCTGTGATATTCAAGATCTTTTATGGTCTGGTCCCATTTTTCCTTTATAGTTCATCTCCCACTATTCCTTATTTTGTACTTTCCCTCCCAGCCCACTCTCATCACATTTTTCTGATCAGACTCTTCCATAACTTTGCTTAGCTGTTTACTTTTGATACTAATTCAAAAGTTGCCTCTTGCTGAGCCAATACTTCCCTCTTAAAATAGAAGAGATAGTGTTCTCCTGTCTGATCCTGGCATATTGTGGCTCTCTTAATTAAAGTTTATCTCATTTTACAGTTATGGGTTTAGCTTTTATATCTTCTGCTGGCTGGGAAAGGGGCCCTGCACTCAGTACTTTGCATATGACAGGTATTTAATACATTTTTTTAAAAATTAGGCTATTATTAGGGGGTACATTGATCCTGTATTGGTAAAAAACAATTTTAAAACATGTAATTCAAATAAATAAAAAATAGTATGGGACTTCTCTGGTGATACAGTGGATAGGAGTCTGCCTGCCAATGCAGGGGACACAGGTTCAATCCCCGGCCCAGGCAGATCCCACATGCTGAGGCGCAGCTGAGCCAGTGAGCCGCCCCTACTGAGGCCGCATGCTGCAGCTGCTGACGCCCACTCACCTGGAGCCTGTGCCGTGCAGCAAGGGAAGCCGCTCACTGAGACGCTCTGCACACCACAGCCAGAGAGCAGCCCCTGCTCCCTGCAGCTAGAGAAAGCCTGTACGCAACACGGGAGACTCGGCGCACCCAGAGATGGGAAACAGATTATAGAAATAGTATAGAGGGACGTTTACTGTAGCTGATAGTAGAAGATGTTAGCAGTAGAATCTTGGCTAATTTAAACATTGTTTTTGGCTTGTCTGTAATAAAATTATTTCTGTATGAGCATATTATTTAATAGAGAAGATTGCTTATAATTTTAAAATAAAAATTTTTGATCTTTAAAATTTTGTTAAGTAAATGAAACTTCTTCAGCTGGACAAAATAGTAAAATTTGTTGAAGTTCTCTATATCTGGAATTAAACATGCCATTCACATGCTGCTAAATGCTAAAAATACTCAAGAATTAAAATAAGAATTGTAATAAGATCATTATTTGGCTAAAATATTATTAGGGCAGGTTGTTACAGTGTTAAGAGACATGAGCTCATAACATCTAAGATATTCATTGGTGGGACTTCCCTGGTAGTTCAGTAGTTAGGACTCCATGCTTCCACTGCTGGGGACTCAGGGTTGATCCCTGGTCAGGGAACTAAGAACCCGTGTGCGGTGCAGTGTGGTCAAAAAATAAAATAAAATAAAATATTCACGTGGAATTAATGTGAATTTTTTTCTCCTATAGGATTATAAATAGAATAGTTAGGAGAACCAAAGGTAAATATTAATCTCTGTAAATGTAATATTTTAATGTACATATGAAGTTGTGTTTCTTTTATTAATAGTTCTTAGCTTACATTTGGAAAAAACATGAAATTAAATAATTGAAATGTTTTCTTTCCTCTCTTTCAGAAATCAAGGAAGGACTGAGGTAAGATTATTTCTATGGAAATTTTATTTAAAACACAAGTTTATTTTACTATGCATTAGAATTAGTAAAAAGAGGGTAGTGTTTGCTCTGGAAAACTCCACATGAAACTGGTGGCTGGTCAGGAAAACATAGTAGTGTAAATGCCACTCTTGTGTGAGTGAATAGGCTCCTTTCTAGTTGCTCATACTTAGCATTTTTCTACTTTGACTTAAATATCCCCTCTCTTAGTACTATGAAAACTAGTATTGCTTCAGTAACACTTTAACATTATTTCAGAGTGGCAAATGTATTTGACAGATTTTTGAAGGCCTTAGATTTTGACCCATTGAATCTAGGACATAATTTGTGGTACCTGTCACATAGTAGAGAGATACTTAAATAATACTTCATAATCTTTCTGTGTGATTGAAAGATCAGCACTTTAAGTTTATAAATCCCTTTGATGAAAAATTTGGGGAGATATGGTAAAAAGCATTTTGAAAGATTGGGTCTTTCAAAAAAGACCTACTGGGTCTTTTCATTCTAAACCTCAATATTGAGTTTTCCTTATAAATATTTAGTTATATTTGTTGAAATATTTGAAAGTAAAACAGCACCGTGTACTCATATGGTAGTCATTGGATCTAAAAATGAAAGCCATCCTCTGCTTATGGGAGTATTTAAGCTTTCTGAGTAAATAGATCACTTCCCCCTGCTTCAGGTAGTTGCTTTCGTAATACTTAATGTTCACTCATTCAGCAAATACTGTTTTTCTTCTATGTGCCAGGCATTTTGCTTGGAGATGGGTGGATGAATGAATGGATGGATGGATAGTTCTGTTTGTCTATCCATCCATCCACCTAATATTTATTTATTTACGGGTATAAATATAACAAGACATGGTTCCTTGACCGCAGATACCTTAGGGAAACAAGTGACTTCTATTTTACAAATAGAATTTTTTCAGCCATAGACCAGAGGAAACATTTGAAAGCTATCTTTATAATGGTAGGTTAACCCCATTGTTCAGACAAATAGGAATAGATTCTCTTTTTATGGCTAATTATTAAAGCTTATTTGATAAAATTTTTAAAAATGCTTCATAAAATGATTGGAAAAGAGTCACAGTAAAATATTTGATTTATAGTCACAGTTTCTGTACAGATACTTTGAATACAAAAGTGTATTGTAATAAGCTCTCGTTAATGTGTCTGCTAGGTTTCATTTACTTTGAATGAAGATCTTGCAAATATTCATGATATTGGTGGAAAACCGGCTTCAGTCAGTGCTCCTAGAGAACACCCATTTGTCTTACAAAGTGTTGGAGGACAGACATTAACCGTGTTCACTGAGGGCTCCTCAGGTGAGTGGGCACAGAATCACTTAAATGCAGCTCCTACACCTGTTGTGTGGATTCTCTCTCTCAACATGCTCTCGAAGGTCACTCCCAGGGCCCTTCCACCTGTGGTTCTTTCTGCCTCTGATTCACATCATGCTGCTTCTCTGCTCGGTGCTTGAAGTCCTTTCCTGTGATTGAGGAATTTTTGGCTGTTACTGGACGGGTTTAGTTTCCATTTGGGGCATGAAGAAATAGAACAAAGCAGATGGAAGAGTGTGGTGCATCAAGCTGTCTTCTAGGATGTTGAGGAAACAGTATTATGAGTTTTGCCAAGATAAGGTCATCCTTGCCTGTTTTGGTAAATTGATATTCAGCAACTGTAAATTGTGTTTTAAAAAATACTGCTTAATACTAGGGAATATTTAGTCAAAATATAGGAAATACTTTGGCTCTTGTATGCTTTCTTTATTTCTTAATGCATAGGGATTGACTTCTTTTAATTGGTATCGACTTCTAAGAAACTCTGTGCATAGTTTTTAATTTTGTGTGTTTGCTCTTTAATGTTTTAATAGCTCAGTAAAAGGGGAGCAGGTGTTTCAGTTTATAAATTAAATATAGAGGGGACTTTTTTGGTGGCATATGTAAGAGTCTATGTTCATTTTCATTGTTTCTTGGTTTTTAAGCTTCACTGAATTTGCAATATTACTAGTAAAGCAACAGGCCACCTCATTTTAATAGAACTAATTTCTCATACCTAGTTCAGAAGGTTTATTTGGTTGTATAAAAGAAAAACATCCATGGTTTTTGTTGTATTTTCATTAAACATTACAAAGAAAGCTGTAAAAAATTATATGTTAAGAACATTATTGTTTTAACAGAATATACAGTTGATCCTTGAAAAATGGGAAGGTTAAGGGCACCAACACTCACAGTTGAAAACATAGGTATAGTTTACAGTGGGCTCTTCGTGTCCAGGGTTCCTTCATGTTTGCAGTGGTGTGTGCTTGAAGTCAGCAACTATAGATTGAATAGTACTGTGGTTTTTACCATTGAGAAAAATCTGCATTTAAGTAGACCCTTGAAGTTCAAACCCATGTTCTTCAGGGGTCAGCTGTGCTCCAGCAAATTTTTGTGGTGTCTTAGATTCCCAATATCTGCATAAACTGATGTCAGAAAATCAGTGGGTTTTTTTTTTTTCCCTTGGATGTAGAATTTAAAAAGTGGTAAATTGTAAATTTTCTGTCATGTGGTTTAAAGTCAAGGAAAGTGAAATTGTTAGTTACTCAGTTGTGTCCAGATCTTTTCAAGCTCATGGACTGTAGCCCACCAGGCTCCTCTGTCCATGGAATTCTCCAGGCAAGAATACTGGAGTGGGTTGCCATTCCCTTCTCCCAGGGATCTAACCTGGGTCTCCTGCACTGCAGGCAGATTCTGTACCATCAGCCACCAGGGTTTGTTTTATCTCATTATTCTGTTGCCATAATTTGTAGTGTAATATTACGGGAAGTAGAAACTGTTAAACATATGCATTTTCTCCTGTAGAAGATTCAACCATTCAACAAATATTTATTGTGTGCCTCATTGTGCAGTGCACAGCATAGGCACAATTAGTCTAGCAACTGGTTGGATTTAATAAGACCTATTTAACCTGTGAGGTTTTCTCTACTTTTATGGTTGTTCCTGGACTGGAAGAGGTGTGGCACCAAGATGGTAAAAAGAAAGCAGAGTCTGAAAAAAAAGCTTGAGGTGGGGAAACTTGTACTTCCTTGGTAGAAAACTGCACCCTGTTTCAAACTTCTTACCTCTTATCAGGTTGACTCGTTGCTGGTACTTATACAAAAGACGGTGACTTGGAAAGCTGAGGTTTGTTATCCTCAAAATTAATCTTCCGTATTTAATCTTGTGAATCCTTTCGTTAGTGTTGTGCTCTTCCTGAACATCTTGTATTCACCTTTGGGGTTACAGTGTACTCCAAGGTGAATATGGATTATGAGGATTATCTTGCCAGGAATATGGAAAAGGATCAAGATTGTCCTTCTTCTGGAGTTTGTACAGTATGTTCTTTGTAGAGCTGTGATAATGCAAAAGGCCGAAGTTGCCGTTAGATGGTGCACACTACACGGGAAGTCTTTGGTGCCTAATCAGTCCTTCTGTCTCATTGTCATTGTTCCCTAACTCTCTTTGCACCTTTCTTTTATATATATATATGTGTGTGTGTATATATATATATATATATTTATTTATTTTATTTGGCTGCTTTGGGTCTTAGTTACAGCATGTGGGGTCTAGTTCCCTGACCAGGAATCTAACCTGGGTCCCCTCCATTGGGAGCACAGTGTCTTAGCCGCTGGACCACCAGGGAAGTCCCTTTTTGCATCTTTTTGTGGTTTAATTTCCTCGAGAACAAAGGTGGAAGCTGGAGGCTGTTGCAGTAATCCCGGGAAGAGCTGACAGATTTGTATCAGCCTGGTAACAGCAACAAAGGTCTAGTCTCTCACCTGATGTCCAGTCCCATCCTTCGTTGTCTTAACAGACAGTCCACTTGGATTTCTCATCATCTGAAATGCAGAAGATACAAAATCAAGTTGACTTCTTCACTCCTTTATTCTCCGTATGTCTGTATTTCTGTCAGTAATGCATCGTTCTGTTCTGAGCCTGCTCTGACTCTCACATTCAGTCAGTTGCTTGTCAGGTCATTTCTGTCGTAGAAATACACATTTCCTTCTTGCTTTTTTTTTTTAAATATTCATTTTTATTTATTTGGCTCTGCCGGATCTTAACTGCGGCTTGTGCAGTGTGTTTTAGTTGTGGCCTGTGGAATCTGGTTCCCTGACGAGGGACTGAGCTTGATCCCCCTCCATTGAGAGTGCGGAGTCTCAGCCACCGAATCCCCAGGGATGACCTCATACACATTTCCTGATACCACTTAGCCCACCGTCCTCTGAACACCTCAGCCGTCCTCTCTCCCCTCCAAGCCGCTGGAATCCCTTCTCCCTCCCCAGAGCCTCCGACCCTGCTGCCTCTCCTCCTTCCCTTGTTTTCCTCGGCCAGGGGTTGGTTTGCTTTCTGCAGTCGTAGCCGTCTCTCCCTTATGACTCCGGTCTTTGCTGACTCCGTTCATCTAGACTTTGACGGCAGTAAGGTTTGTGTCACTCATTTTGTCCCTGAATTAAGCCTTATGGGCAGAGGACCATGTCTCATGCTTATCGCCAGCGTGTCTCATATAGCACTGAACACAGCACATGGGCTTGCTAAAGCAAATATGCATTGAAATAGTTGATTTTCTCCTAAGAATTACTGGTATTCTAAAGGTATTCTATAGAGTGATTTTAAGTGAGATGGCTTGTTAGTGACAAAGGATAGATTTTCTTATTTCAAAGTTAAGTCTTTTTCTTAAGACACTTGAGATTCAAAATTGAATATTAAATTCCTTTGTTCCCTACTTTATTTCTTGCTCATTATGTTTTTATTTTGGCATGAATGATTCTTTTTCTTTGCCAGTCTGGTTAGTTCAATGCTCTGTGATGTGACGCTTGGTTGACCACTAGACACGTTATCATATTGCTTGGTGCATTTCCTGTGTGCTGAGAATCAGTTATATAATTTTCAGAGGTTTGAATTAACCTTTATGTGTATCTGTGTGTGCTTTATAGCACTCAAACTACCGCTGTTTTCTTCTGTTGAATTTGTTTTCTTATCACTAATTTTACATGAATTTTGCTGTTGTGTAAATTATCACCATCTGCATAGTGCTAGTTGCCATTGAAATGGAACTCTGAGTTTTTTTTTTTTTTAAGTATAGTTGATTTACAATGTTGTGTGTTAATTTCTGCCATACAGCAAATGATTCAGTTTTATACACATACATTCTTTTAAAAATTCTTTTGGTTTATGGTTTATCATAGCTCCATGTGCTATACAGTTGGACCTTGTTTATCAATTCTATGTATGATGGTTTTCTGTGTCTATGAGTCTCTTTCTGTTTTGTAAATAAGTATCATGTTTTTAGATTTCACATATGAATGATATCATATGACATTTGTCTTTGACCTACTTCACTTAGTATGATAGTCTGTACTACATTGCTACTACGTTGCTACAACTGGCATTATTCCATTCTTTTTTGTGGCTGAGTGGTATTCCAGTGTAAATACTGCATCATCTATCCATTCATCTGTTGGTGAACATTTAGGTTGTCTCTATGTCTTAGCTATTGTGAGTAGTGCTGCTGTGAACATAGGGGTGGCACGTATCTCTTTGAATTATAGTTGAATTATATTCTTGTTACATTTGCTGTGATACAGAGTACCCTATATCATGTTATATTCTCATGACTATTTGGTTTAGGAAAATTGAAGGAACTTTTTGTTAATGTTTACATCTTTTTTGTCATTAAGCAGTGATAGTTAACAGAAATGGACCACCTATTATACACTTATTTTGTCCACTGTGTTGAGTACTTCTTAGCAATTATTTCACACAAGCAGCCTATGAGGTGGAAACCATTGTCATTTAATTGATGAGAGAAACGGAGTTTACTTAGGATATAATTTGACCAACATGTAGCTGGTAGACCGGTGCCCTTAATCATCATACTAGTGGTTTTCAGAATGTAGGTGCAAAATTAATTTTGTGAGTAACTGACAGCTTTGAAAAAAAGAAAGAAATTGAATGGGGAAGAAAATGAACTTTTATATTTAGGAACATTTCAAACACATTCTGAAGTAGAATAATATAAACTCACCCAGCTTTTTTAAGGTGCTGTTTGTAATTAAGAGGGCTTCCCAGGTGACTTGGTGGTAAGGAATCGACCTGCCAAGCAGTTGATGTGGGTTCAGTCCCGGGTTGGGGGTGATCCCCTGCAGAAGGGAATGGCAACGCACTTAAGCATTCTTGCCTGGGAAATCCCGTGGACAAAGGAGCCTGCAGGCTACAGTCCATGGGATTGCAAAGAGTCAGACATGACCTAGTGACTAAACAGCAGCAGCAGTGGTTAAAAACAAATTACTTTTGTAAAAAGATAT